GGGCGACGCTCTACTTCATTCGGAGGCATCTGAGGGCGGTTGGGAGGGATGAGTCGGAGGAAGTCGCATGATGTGTCGTAGGGGGTGGATCAGGCTACCGTGTCGCTCGTGTCGACGCTGCTGGTGCGTGACGGTATCGATGGGTTGCGGGCGTGACGGTGTCGATTGGTGGAGCGGAGGATGGGTGCTTACGCGGTAGTTGCTGCTTACTAGTTGTAATCAATCTCAGAATTCTTTTCTCTCAGAAACTCCACTCAGAAAGGCCGGAGCCAAAAACATCTTGTTATAAGTATTAAGTGAAGGAATCTCCTCTACTAACTGTAAGTGTAATGGGCTAGAGCCCTTGATCTCTTATCCTCGACTGCGACATCGGTGTTCTCCTCTGCCTGCTCTCATCGCTAACTCGGCAATCGGCAATACCATTTCCCCGCCTCTAAATATCTGGATAGCTACGTAGCCTAGAAAATTAATTCTCTATCGAACACAGTCTTGTTACTTGGCACCATTTGGCACAGCTTCTTAAGCCTAGGCGTAGATCCTTGAGTACGCTTCTCACAAGAAGTATAGTCCAACCCTATGTAATACCACTTACCTACCTAATATGAGGCGCGAACCTGGGTGCGATTCGTGCCGAAGTAGGGTTAGCGTTGGGGTTTCGGTCTGTATCCGGCCATTTTGCACCCCCCGATTCGCGGATTTTTGACCCAACCCAAATGCCTGTCTTGATCTCCAGTCAGATCTGCACTTGAACCACCGTCAAGTGCATTACCTGGATCGTTACGGACACTCTCACACGGTGAGAAAACCAATCCACCATTTGCCACACTACATGCTTGGACATTTGGTCGAATTCGAGGACATATCCTTGTACCTATTCTTCCCATGTCTCTATCGGGAAGATCAGCAGTCTAGTCGTCTTTTGGACAGTGACTTTCGCACCTGGATGAATCACATCTTGCTACCTATAATCTACCGGCATCACGAGAGCTCACTTATTCAACATTATCCGTCTAGCCACGATCATAGCCTTTCAAACTCTACCCCACGAGGAGTAGAGATGCGGTCACAGCGGATCGATCCGATGGCAAGAGAACAGTGACTCTCTCACTTCCTGCCACTAGGTTATTTGCACATGGTAGGACTGATATCCTCGACGCTGTCCAGCGACCGGGCCTGCAGCAGATCCGCGATGTGTTTATTTTCTTTGATGCAAAAAATTTAAAGGCGCACGAAATACTCAACATGGTTGGGTATGACACCACAATTCCAGAAGTATTGGCTTGGCGCTATCACGGATGCCTATATTGAAAAGATATATATTGATGTCAGCAAGGAAGTCTGCTCTGCATTCAAGTCTCGCATAGCGCATACGCCACCCACGAATCCAGAAGGCTTTCACGCAGAAAGCGAAGGTTGGGTTGCGGCCGAAACGCTCTTATGGAAGCGATGCTGCTTGGAGACTTTCACTCATCGAACTCTGGATGGCTATAAGAGGACTTTTTACCCCTTCAGCATGCTATGTGATAGCGGAAGCCTGACGATTGAAACAAATCGAGGTTCGAAGTGGCGTGCTGCTGAGCTTTTGTACAGCAAGTTCTGTTCTAGCATTAAGGAAATATTAGCGGCCAGAAATGTATATCTATTCACTAACCGCACTATTGAGGCGTTGGCACTAGATCCGGAGCTGCGGAAAACGTGGGAGTACGTTGGCGGCGGTCTTAGCCATAATCCCGTCGCTTTGATACGGGCCTACCTTTATACTAAACTCCGCTGTCATCACGCTATCCAAGGTTTTATGCAGAAACGCCTTGGGACGCGAGAGGAACATCGTATTTTAAAGCAGCTCTTCGCTCAGATTGACACCTAATCTCGAGACCAGGGCCTTCACACCATGACAATCTATGTGCCTAGGCAAGGACGCCTATCTACACGTACAATACCGTTACCATTCTTGAGTGGCTTCGATGGAACATCAACAAGATCTACGTTGGTTTCGAGATGGTATACATACTTGGCGATCGTCATCTGGTGACTTGGGAATATACGCGTGTTATGCTGATGTTTCTCCGATGTCTGCAGTTCTCTTACACTGGTGGCCTGATACAAAAGGTCAGCGGCTGTTGGCAGGATGTGCGATGCCACCCTAGTACTAGCGAACCTGACGGAATTCAACGACTGGAGGGTTTAGGATTTCGTGACACAATGAGCCAATATGGATATGCTTGGTTCCTAGACAAGGCGCGTTCTTACGCCCTACTATCTTTGCTGGTCGACATCTGCCTTCGAGCGTTTCGCAAAGATGTATTTCAACACATACGACTAATCATCCGCCGCAGGTACCGCGCGCCAGCTCTCTCTGGTGACATAGCGCTCTGTCGCCCAATCATGGAGAAGATAGTGAAACCCACTCACCTTCCACTTCATTTTGTGTCGGGGAACCGTGTGTCTGTTAAAACAATAGGAGCTCTTTGCAGATGGCTCTGGGACTGGGAAGATGGAACATTCCTGCGCCGTCACTGGAGCGATAAGCCACATCGAATGCTGTATTGGAGGTGTATTTATATGATCGGAATCATCAACGGACCGGCGCAGGCTCAATTGTGGAGGCTCAACCTAGAGAGAAGGTTCATTCAGACACACTGGATTGTGCCATATTCAGAGAGTAGTTGCTTCTTCTCGCGCACCAAAAAGCACCAATACTGCTGGTGGTCTAGCTACCACAACAACCTTACCGAGTCATTTACTGTTTCATCAGCTAAGTACTGCAGTATTGCGGAAGTTGCAGAACTGTCTACAGATGGATGGCGATCTTCTTTGGAAGCTCTACAACTTGAAATGAAGATGCTAAAGATCCCAAAGGAAGTTGAGATGTTCTTGCAAACACTACTGCCCATCGAGATTGAAGGTACACTTCCGTTTCCCGTATTGAAACCACCAGTGCATGGGTATAACGTTCGGTCCAGCGCTCAGCACCAGAGAAGAAAACAATACAATAAAAACTGGCAGTGGTTAGACCATTATCTCACTACTTTTGCTCATGCCCAGGAGACAGGGGAAAGAGTACAGCACCTAGCTCAAAGTCAGCAGCCGTAGCCTTTGGACAGAGAACGAACTAGCTACATAGGAGCAATCTCGACCGCGGATCATTCATTAGAAAGCTTTGTTGGCGAACAATACGCCCATGCAATGAATCATGCAATAGGTAATCGTAGTCCAGTTCGGTGTGAACGTGACCTTTCTTCCCATGAGTTGTCAGGTCAAGAGAGGTCTCTACATATCACGAGTTTGACCAAGCAGGTAGTCAGTGGCAATCTCAACCCCAATCTACCTTCATGCGAACAGATGGAACAGTGAAAAAGACGGATGCATTATAATACTAGTTACAAATCGCCCTATTCAGTAAAAAGAAAGGTTGGACAGCCAAGTTTAAATCTTACAGAAGAACAAAAACTTCATCGCCGTAAAGCAATACTATAAAGATCTCGACATAGACGGAAGTTGTCGAAGCAAGAGGGTCTCCAAGTACGATTTCACGCGCTTTCAGTACTGATTGAGCAACGCGTGACCAATTCGAGATTCTAGTGTAATAGCAGATTTTCCAAATCGTTCATATAGCTCTCTATGTATATGGCTGTAGAAATGAAGACAGCAGCGTTTGCGACCATCACTCGCAGGAAATCATTCGGACTACCAATATTGACTCAGCTGCAGCGACGGTAGGGCGGGAGAATGAATGCGTCATTACGTTGTATTATACGTGAGAGTTGTATTTATAGAGTAGCAAACAAATTATGTACAATGAATTGGCCTGCCTCCACGCGACCACCACGATACGGGCTTCATTCGTGCTTAATTCGGAGTAGCGCGCGATTTCGGCCCTGATTGGCACCCCTTCCCGGCTTAATAGGAAACCAGCCCCCTTTCATAGTCTATTCTAGTCTAACTCTGCTCCACACAGACGTGCATGCTCGAACACACTACATTCAGAGCGAGTCTTGCTTTTTGCTTCTGTTCCCTGTCCTTCTGTAATAGTATTCACCTGTCTAAGTATCATCCTAAAAACCACGACCCTCTCTATTCAATTGTGTAGTAGTGTCGATGAGGGCTTAGCGCTTATGTCCCGCTGGACAGTCTATGTAGGCAATCCAGGAGGGAGCGCACCTTTTGATGGTGCCTCTGCGCCTTCCTCCTGGACTGTCTGTACGGGCGAGCCTGCGAAGAACAAGGCGTGTGTTTAGCTTTGCTGCGACTGCGTCCTTTGTTCCTGTCTAGCCCTTGCTAACAGGATAGTCTGTACAGCCAGAAGTTCCAAAAATCATCTCCCATCTGCCAGAATATAGACATTTGTTCTGCGATCCATGAAGAAGCGTCGTGCCCTGCAGGACACTCCACCATCACCTCCGCCACTACCACAAAATCCGAACGTCAGTATGCAAAGCTATCGTCTCTCAGTACAGAGGGCTGTCGGTGTCGCAGACTGATGCAGACGTTGTACCTCTTCCAAACAAATCAACCCCCATTGAATTTTCTAGCACCACCGCAGCAGGGCTACTTCTGCCCGTAATGCAAATGCACAACTTGTAGTTGAGATACAATCCTGCTGCACTTTCGGACAACAGAGTGCAGTAGAGGGCAGAGGACACGCAATGACCTCCTTCTCGTCCGTGGTGCTGTCCACCCACAGTACCTCCAGTCTTAAGTCGAATATCCTTATCATAGGATGCGTAGCTGCGTTCACCGTATTGTTCTACGTGGCGAACCGACGGCAATGAGTGGGCAAACGAGTCCTGAAATTCATGCAAGGCTTCAGATTCACATACTGATAGGTTGTTGCCTTGGAATAGATTAACTAGATTCATATAATTGGAAACAGTTAAGTAACCTACAGTACCTCGTTAAAAGTATGAGTACACTTGGCTGGTGTATAGTACACGCTGGGTTGACTCAGTGCACCCAAACTTTTGGCCTGGTACTGTAACATACATCCTCAGGTCTCATCATACAAGCACGAATCTTCTCTTTTCCCTATTGGGGAGATTTGTCAGCAAGTCCATATGACTCGTCAGAAAGTTGTCCTCTGGGATGTGCATGGTTCCAACACGACGGAATTCGGCTTTGTCCGAGCCATCGTCTCCCTGTACACCCTTGGGTTGAATGAGAAGAAAATGGAGATTGATGTCATCTGTTTCGGCGCTCTTGTGTAGTTCAAATCCTGCCTTTCCAACGTACAGTGCCGAGATTCGTGGACTAATTCTGGACACCACATTGAATACCTTGCAATCATTCCCTTTGGTGTCTGCATGCTTTCTTTCACATTTACAGCTGTCTTCGGAGTCGTAAGTATCGTCGAGGAACGCATAGTTAAATCCACGGCCAGGTGCATACTTGCTATGATCTCTCTTGGTTTTACGATAGCAGTCGAGCACGCTTTTCAATATGTCGTGCTTGAGAATCAGGCCACACACCTTCAGTTTCTTGCAATCTGTAAGGTCCTGTTTTTCTATTGGTAGATCTTGCGATGCTATAATCGGTTCCACGGTAGTGTATGCATCTATCATTTGCTGAGTTGACGTCACGTTGAGTGCAATCAAATCCTCGTCCCGCTGATACCAGTCGGTGTATAACCATGTCCAGGATGGTATATCGTGTCTTCGAGGCTTCATCGGGCTCTTCAATCTCCAAGAAACCAACTCTTCGCGCAATCGGTCTCTATGAAGACCAGTCACGATTCTGCAATTGTGATGTTTCATGAGCGTGTCCGTGATTCCTGTAAAGGCTACTCGGCAAGTATTTCGCAAAGGGTCGTCATCGCGCACTGAGAGTCTCCTTTGTGTGAAAAATGTGACGATCGAGCACCAGGCATCATACGTAAGGTACGATGTTTCTGTACACATGGGAGTATTCTGTGTTTGAAGAAAAATGTGCTTGTTGTTGTGGAATTGAGGGTTTACTCGATCATCCAAGCTGTCCCAAGACTCTTTGCGACACTCGAGCGTCAGATTGTGAGTAAACACGTAGATGATGCGAGAAGACACCAGTCGCTCTTGATAGGTCCAACCACGTTTGCTCCACTGAGAATCAAAAATGATTCTGCTTTCTTGATAACCTGACCTGGGTGTACACCAATTGTAAGTACGAGTTCTGAAAAACTGGCTCTGCAGTGACTCACCCTTCCTCTGCAAGTATCAATTCCCTTGACGCTTCCTTTTGTGACCAAGGACCGGGAAGCTTGCAAGATAAAGGAGAACTTGAATCTGTCATCATACCAGTGTCCGATGATTCGGATAACACTGGGACGATGGTCACATAAGCGTTTCCATAATATAGGAGCATTCGTTTTGACTCCTTGACCCAATCTTCATTGCAATCTTGAATGATACAGAGTGCATCGATCCAGATGTAGTTAATCTCAAGCTTCCGAACTAATTCTATAGCGTCTCGGAGTGTCCGCGTTAATTCACTCAGACAAATCTTCTCCTCTCTCGATGTCTTGTTGGTCTTCGTTGTTTTGTTGGGTTTGCACACATCTGGGTGACCCCAACAATAGCTCAGTGCTGCATATTTCAGCCTTTCATTTTGGTTCGGTTCTATGATCTTGATAGTGTTTTCAGACAGAATTTGAACAAGTCGTGTTGGACTTTCCATCTCCTCAAAAGATGGGCACACGTCATGCTTTTGGCAATTTTTCATCGCACGTAGGACATCTTGGATGTTATGCTCGGACATGGGGTCAAAATCTGCGGTATGTCAGTCCTAGTCTGGTGAACAGATTATCTACAGCAATCCTCTGAACCTTTAGTACAATCCGCGCCTGCATCTTCGATGCAGGGTCAAAACGGTATACAAAATACTGTAAAAGCTAGATCTTACCAGTGTGCTGCGGTACATGTATTTTCATGTCAGTTCTATACCCTCCAATGACCGGTCTGTCGCTGTCGTTGTTTCCCGTCTCTAGGGACAGGATATCGCCTAGTACGCCTGGAGTTCTGCGAGATCTAGTGCATCCGAATATTACTTCAATGGATTCATCCCCTTCCGTGGAGCCATTGCGAGGGATGGTGATCGCGTTATTCAGCATTTTACACCAGTCGCAGCTTTTGGCGCTTTTTTCTAAGCCTGGGAGACGAGGTGCCTTATCTGTGAACGACCATTTGATCGAGCCATAACCGCGGTATTCTTTAGCTTTAAATGTGGCGACAATCCCGGAAACAAATGTTTCGCAAATGGAGCAGCATTTCGTGGATTTTTGGAGAGACATACTGTGCGACGTTCAGAAACAAATGGGCTGCTGAATAGTGTTCGGCCTGCCTTCTGTTAAGTCCAACTTTGTTGGGTAGGTGTTTGCACTATATGCATGTCATCAGCTGCTTATTGATACACTGATAAGCGGCTGATCCCACCTATCTTTCACCGGAGTCTCGTATTCGCAAGTCGGTGATCCCGAACCGGCCATCTGCATAGGAGCCATGACCGAGCTGAGGCGGTCAAACAGGTTTTGCGAAGCGAGAGCTTCTCATCCGCGCCCAATGCAGTCTTTGTAAAATTCGGATCGCTCAGATGACTTGCGCATATTTGGACTGAGGATTTCCGTTGCATTTGTTGGGTAAGTACAGCGTCCCAACCCACCTATCCCATCCCATCCCATCGCCAACACCCCCAAGCCTTTCCCCCACCACCACCACGCCGCCTTAACCCCTCAAGCGCTGTCAAGCGGCACACCAGCCGTCTTGTTTCCCACCGCCAAGTCTTAACGCACGCCATGCGTCCGTGTAATCCCTTCCCACATACGCAGAAAGCTGGGGTGATTAGCGGGGCGCTAATGCACGGGGTTAGGCGCAGTAGGGAACGGCGTGAGGGGACGAGGGGGTGTGCGTTGGACGTGAAATACTGGGGAAGCTAGCTGGGTAAACTGAAAGGTTTAAAGGAGGATAGGACGGCAGGGTTTATAAGTTGCGAGTCTTGCGGATTAGGCCTTTAAAGATTCCTTTGTTAAGAATTGGCCTGATTGGGTCATATTTCTAAGGTGTTGATTATAGTATCAAAGTTCTAAGGTTCTAAAAGATAGCTATCTATTATAAATATTATAGCTAGAGCTTTACTTATTCTGTACTAAGGCTAGGGCTTACGCCCTAGCCTATAATATACTCTCTATCTCTCTTCTCTTATTATAGTAACGTTAATATATAGCGTTATATAGAGGTTATAGATAAGATCTAGAGGTGTTATATTAAAAGCTTAGACCTAATTCTTCTTAGTCTAATTCCTACTATCATAGTATAGGCGCTTAAATCTTTTCTCTACTATTATATATTTGCTTATATTACTATACGAATAGAGAGAGTCCCTAACTAATATAAGGCGCGGGTTGTCACGGCGCTAGCTGACATAGCAGCGGACCGGCAGCTTCCAGGTGCCCAGCAAGGCTAGAATCCCCCGGGTGGCCGTTAGGGCCACAGTGCCAGCGAGGCAGCTAGCGCGCAGCCTCATGATTGGCTGCCAGTAGATTCTAGGTGCGGGCCTAAGCACCTAGATTCTACAAAACCATAGCACCGTAGTCTAGATAGCTCTTTAAGCTACGTTCTATCTTCTACTCTGTACTATCTATAGTTAGGCGCTGCGCTGACTATATATGTTACAAGCAACAACGGAAAGGATCCTCTCCCTAGTAATGATGGTATAATGGTTGAGAAACCACTTAGTGTAACGGCTCAGCACCTGTTCCTACACACATCCGAACAGGATCCGAACTAGGGTATGATTCGGCCTAGTAGGAAAAACGACTATATAAACCTAACCTCTATAATAGCTTATTAGGTAGATTTTTAATATCCTTTCGTACAAGGCCTATAGGTGTCTATTTGAATTAAGGCTCGTTTAATGTCCCACGCACTCCCATATGCCTCTGAGT